TCTAAACAAAAATAATAGAATAAAATTAATTTAATGAATAAACAATAAACACAAATATTTGTGGAATTAGGTTAATTGAAATTAAGGAAAATATCAGTGGCAAACCATGACTAGAGCTGGACTTTTGGCTTGTATAAAATATAGCTATCCTCTGATAAAATCCTGTGCCTCGGAGGAAAGTTTTCTGTTCAATTTGCATTAAATTGTTAAACCTTGCGCTTCTTTCATTAAATATTAACAGAAACATTTTCCCACTTTCTGTTTGCTTTATAAAGCATGGGATAACATTTTTTAAAATCCAATCAGTTRAAAAAGAGCTGTTCACTGTGGCGGCGGTTGGCTCCTCCCTCCCTGCTGCTCCACAGCTGATTAACTTCAGCTGCTGCTCATCTGAGGAGGATCTCTTTTGACTTTTACAGTTTTTATTGATTGCTTTGACCTGTTTGAAGGAACTGGGAACCTCTCAGTCTTCATCATCACCATCTCAGCAGAGCAGAAGACACCTCTTTCAAATGTGTTAACCCATTCTCAGGATTGACGCAGTTTTTCCACCCTTTTACAAAACAGTTAACACAGATGTCATTCAAGAAGTCCAAACTCCCGTTCAGCTGTCAGTATGAAACACAGAAAGYACCTGTTTKACACGTCTTCACAGAATTTTTCAGTTTTCAATCAGTCTACAGGCCTGTTGTTCTTTGCAAGCATGGATCGAGGAGGTCTAAGGCAGATGAGAGGTAGAGTGAGAGTAAGARGTAAAGGGGTCAGAGGAAGAGGAGTMCGTGTGTGAGGTGGATGAGGCYATGTGGCCCATTCTTCAAGAAAGAAGAGACTAGAAGAGACAGAAGAGTATCATTGTGGCTATCTCTTATACTCTTATAGTATAGGCCTATTATAGATCTTTGTTCTTTACTGTAAAAGACTGTTTTTGATTTACCTAATTTCTCACACAGTAAAGGATTTTATTTTTATTTCCATTGTAAGGGTTTATTCTTACACTTCTTATAACAAGATTATAAGACTAATTTAATTAGCAAGGATCTCTTTTAATGTTTGGATAAACA